GCAATCATTTAGTGGACAAAACCAGTTCCCACGGAAGAGACACCTACTGTTGGGATGAAGCGTGGTGGTTGTGGCAGCCATAAGGGTCCAGCAACAAGTTATCATTATCAGCACCAACAAAAGAGATTTCCCCCTTTGTACCATTTGTGGCAATCACTTTGCCAACTATTGCTAGAACAACCCACAAAGTTTACACTCCTCATAGGACTTGCAAGAGGACATGGCTGGGCCAGGGGATGCACTGCCAACAAGGTGGCACGTGGGTGCATGCGCTAGCACCTGTGACATAAGGAGTGGGATAGGGTTCCCCACAACTCGCCCTAGGTGCTTCCAGGTCTGACAACAAACCAAAATGCAGAGTGAAATACAAAAATAAAAAGGATGGTTCAATTCCATGAAGCAAGCATAGGGGAGCTTTTGAGGCCGTCAATCATTCCTTCAAAGAGAGACTTCTGTTGTCGTTGACACACAAATGTGTTGTCATTCAAAGCCAAAGGGGATTGTGCCAATGGCAGCAAAACAGGGCAGAACACAGATTTGTTGCTACAATTGCCACCTAAACGCGCATTGGATGTTTGTAAACAAGGTGCCAGAGTTACGGCAGAGGCAAATCCGCTTAAGATCACCATTGCAACAAGAAAGCCCATCGTTAACGGCAACGCCACGCCATCTGGCATGGGCGCTTGGAGGCACGTTGATAGTTGATGGAGTGCCTAGTTGCTCAGGTGTGCATTTCTGACGAGCCCGCACGCGTGCGCATTTCGCCCAGTGAGCTTTGAGATTGGTGTTTTTTTGCTAACTTGAAAGCGCAACGTTGTGATTCAATTTCAGATTGGGTTCTAGACTAGTTCAAGGGCCCTTGGATTGATGTGCAACTAGAGGTGTTTGTGGCAGGTGCTAACAAAACTTGGATAGTTGACTGGATGGCATCCTACACATGTGTTTGCTATCCCGTTTTCTCTAGCGCCGCCCTGGTTATCCAGGTTTGGCAACAAACCCCATAACCCTTAATGAGAAAATAACAATACAATGATAATTTTGTCATTCTAGTGTACAAGTGCTATTCTCAATATAATGTACAATGCGCCTAGTTACAATGGCAATCTACTAAAGCTAGGCCTGGCTGAGGGCGGTGACTGGGACTGGATGGACATAGATGATGGCAAAAGTGATGGAGAAGACACCTCAAGTGAGCTGCATGGGATGGGCACGGACCAGTCGCATCTGGTGATAAGGCCCAATGGTCACATCAACTAAGGGCATGTGGGCCGAGGAAACAGGCTGGTGTTCACTTGGAAGGTTTGGTGACACCAAAAACGTTTCGCATAGGAGAGTCTGGCCAACTCAAGGGGGTCACGCCCCAGTATTGTTGGACATGACCACTGGTACCCGGCAAGTGCATTTCGCATAGCTGCCAGTTTGGTACGTGCAGCTGTTTGAAGACAAAGCATAGCCAGTCCCAGAGACGTTGAACAACTCTATGCAACAGAGGTCTAGCGCTTCAACATGCAACACCCCACCCATCGTGCACACCTCCAGTCATCCCTGCGATCTATGGAACAACACAACACAACATGTTTATAATAACTTTGCACTTAACCTTCTGCTTTGGAGATAGTAACATTTGATTAAGTTCCAAATTGGCCCAACTGTGTGTGCTTGCTTGCTGCAGCAACCACGCGGGAAGATCATCAAAAGCGATATATCAAATACTTGCGTCATCTGCTTGTTGACCAGGCTTACGCCAATGCACATGAGGTACACATACAAGTCTTGAGAGCCTCACAAACAAGATCTGCAACTCCCACATAAAGCCACCACTGGCAATAACATTGGCTCTGCTTGAACTACAGCTGCAATATTGTAGTTGGGAATAAGACAAAAGGAGTGAAAAGCTGCAATCCTGGGAGGCACAATCGGTGAAGGGACATGCAATCAAAACCCCTTGGTCATCATGGGCCTGAGGCTGTCACAACACGCATCCACTGCCATCTTGGCGGGATGCTGGTGGCCAGCACTGAACATTCACATAATGGCAGATTCCCCGTGGTGGGATTGTTCACCACAACACTCTAGTACTGTCCAAAACACCAAGGCTGGACCCACATGCCCCCAAATGACAGTGATGCAAGGAAATGTCGATGTTGCTATTCCAAGAGCTTGTATTTCACCTATCCATACATATTTGCAATTCTTGTACAAATATTGATAATGCAACCTTTGGATCAACTCGTGTTCACTTACCCAACACATACAGTGTTGTTTCTTGCAAAATTTTGGAAGTTTGGGCCGCCCACCCCACAGCCTGGCAAATGTATGGCACACACTAGTGACAGCGTGTGCTATGGCACAACAAGTGTCCATGTCCACCACCGCAGGGACATGAGGACCACCTGTTACCAAATATTAGTCAATACTTGCATGTAAACAAACTAGTCACCTCAACTTCGTTGGAAGCAAAATTGCATACAAGAACACTTTTTGCCAACATCATTGACTCCTTACCTCTGCCTGCAGAGTGTTGCATGGACCTTGAAGATGCTGTCCAGTTCAAACATGGCACCACGTGGAGTCCCAATGCCACGATTGAACCTACATTTTCAGACACAATACTGTCAGTGCTGAATTGCAGTCAGCACCCATCCTTTCAGTCAACTTTTGTCTTTTGATGCAAATTCACAGCTCAGCTGTATTGTACTTCCTCTGTCCGTAATTAATTGTCCTCTATTTGAGAGGCAAAATTCGTTATAAAGAACAACTTAAATTTACCAAAGAACATCAGAATTGGAAAGATTGGGTTGCAAAACCCTTAACTACCAATTTTCAAGAAAAAATAATTAGTCCTACCCCCTCTAGATGGGCCCCCAAATTGTCTGAAAATCGTCCAAAAAGTGTGCGTGCAGATTCTGCATCTGCTAGAGATCGCACTTTTCTGAGTCACTCCCGTCCTTGGTGCGCCAAAGACAAATCGTTGCTGTCTTTGCGGTGAAGGGTGGTGTCCCTTACATGGAATAGGGCTTGCCAAACACGAGTGAGCATGTTTGAATCCCCATCGTGGTAGGCCATCGTCGCAGTTTTGATGATTTCTGAAATCTTGGCCATCGTCAATCTTCGACGTGCATACATAAAGCAAGCGAACAAAGCTAGGGTCCAAGGTATTCAAACTTGGGCTATGTGCGAGCTATTGTTCCAAGGTTATGCAGTAGACTTGCTTGGACAATCTGCCTCGATTGAGGCTTGAATTGTTGTTTTTATGGGCAGCCTGGCCCACACCCCACAAATTGCCATTATCTACCAATTCTTGCATGCAATCCACAATCCATCGCAGCCCAGCAAGTGCGTTTCCCTGAGAGACATAGTTTTATCCATCTAGCTAGTCTTCTCAACCTCGAGCCCTTCAAGTGCCGAAAAATGGTCGATTCACTATTCCTATCTACGAGGGCCACTGCCTAATTACCCCATAATTGCCCCCTAATTATCCTCCGGTGAATAGGGTGATGGCCACCACCTTCCTAAAGGTCTACAAGGAATTTGGGAGGCCTCCTGCAGTATCCCTTATACTGGAGTTGGAAGCCCAAAAGTCGTGGTTCAGAAATCTGGACCTGATGGGCATCTCTCATTTGGCCAATCGAGCCTGAATTGCAGCCGCAAAACACAGCGACTTCCATGATCAGGACTTTCAAGACACATTTTCTGTTGCCCTTTTCCTTTGCAAGCATCTCCATGATCTTCTGTCCAAACAGCATGGATAGTTTTGCCCGGGCGGCTCTGTAGCGCTGTTGCAAAGGCGTGCTCCTCAAAACAGCGAAAATGGCCATTCCAGCAGGGATGGTGAAAAACTGGTGTGTTTCTGGCTGGATGACCCTTGCTACAAAGTGCTGCCAAATCCTCAATACTCAATGGATTGACTTGAAATTTTGACTACATACTCTTAAAACATAGGCGTAGTTTTGCAAGAAATTTGAATGAGAAATAAAGTAACTATGATGGAGAAGTAAGGCACCAAAATTATAGAGGACAATAAATTCCGGACGGAGGAAGTAAAATAATTGATTTGCCATTGCCATCCATCTTTGACCAACCAAAAGCAAATTGTTCATCACCAGGCATTTCCTGCAAAGAACAATGTGCTCATACAGTACATTATCTTTGGTCATGTAGGCAGCTGCACCACCCACCTGCATTATTGTCGCAGCCATCAAATCCATTTGAACCATTTGCAACATTTGTGGCCATCGCCCTGTTTGGCCCAGGCACCAACCCTGCCACAGTCGACTCTCCCCAAGCGGCACGAAGTTGTTGTTCACCCATGTTACTTCCTGCAGATGTGTGGGGGCAGCAGAAACCTGCTCCTTGGTCAGCATGCATGCCCATGAACTGGAACTGGCGAGCATTTGGAATAACTAATGGGCTTGTCCTTGTCCTTAGGATTGCTGCAGTGCCCAAGGCACCTAAAAGCTTGTGAGCACACAACCCGCTGGCAAGCTGAGTCTAGTGTCTCCAGATCATTTCTTTTGTGTTGGAGCCACTCTGATCCCCCCTTCCCCCCCAAACACCAGAGTTTCGAAGTGTGTGACAAAATGCTGTCTCTACCTACCTGTCAGAGACAACATGCACACAACAACTTGTCCAAACGCCTAGATCCCAGGGGGCCTCAGGTTGCCAAATGTGGGCCAGAAACAGCTGCACCTGTGCCATGTTGTGACAAACAACCCACAAACGACCACAATCATTTGCAAAGTGCGCACACGTCCGCCGGCACACACTTCATGAATGCATCTACGCTGTAGCAGCGTATCCAGGGAATGAACCACCGTCACAACACACTTGGTATTCTGCAGGGTACTAAGAGTAGCCCAAGATGAACAATTCTCAACGCGTGAGCCACAGATCATTTTCCCAGTACAGGTGCCACAGACAGAATATCAACATGCCCTCATCTGCCCCAAGCATGCCTGCAGCTTCTGCATGCAACAGATTGAATCACAATCCTACTGTTTCTACACTGCTGCATCCTTGATGGTTACACTCATTATTTTGACATCATCCAATGGTTTGTCATGGCGATCCACTTTTGCTTTCTCAATTGCGTGGACAACATCCATGCCCTTTGTGACGCGTCCAAAAACTGTGTGCTTGTTGTCGAGCCACGGTGTTGCTACGGTAGTCACAAAAAACTGCGATCCATTCGTGCCCGGGCCTGCATTGGCCATGCTAACTATTCCCGGTCTGTCGTGTCGGAGATTCTTGTTGAACTCATCCTCAAATTCACCCCCCCAAATGGACTCGCCACCAGTTCCATCACCTGCCACAAAATGATGACAATGAGCAACGTATTACAAAGGCTACATTGATCCCAATTGCTTTCTGGGGCATTCACTTGCCACACATATGAACGCAAAGCCCTTGCAGTAATTTGGCAATCCTGACTGAACCAGACAATTTTATGCCTCCATATCACACATGTGCAGTTTGGACCAGTAGTTTGCCTTCTTGAGAAGGCAAAAATTTAGTGGTGTATCATCCTTAAGTTTGCATTGCATTGGCATGTTGAATTCCTTGGGTTACAATGCCATTGCAATGCACAACAAGCTGATGAACTCCACAGAGATTAGGGATTCCATGTAGGTCCATTCCTTTACCTTTGTCAGAGTGTTTAACGTATCCTATGAGTGTCGCAGAAGCCAGTGAGCAGATTACCAAACTTGGAGTTTTCCAGTCTGTCCTAAAACAGCCACAGATGGAGCAGCTCAAGTCCATTCCAGTTTCTACATAGGTTGGTATGGCGTTGCCTGCCTTGAGGAGAAGTCTACTGTAGCATGAATACAGCATCACTGTGTGCAGTTTCTTGTCTGGAACATCAGAGTCACAGCCACTCCAATACAGCAGAACCATGCCTGTGCACCTTTGTGGCCAAAGAGTTGGCTGCAGGAACTCACCAAGGGGGTCTCCTGTCTGAATCATGAACCCCTTGATGACTCTATGAAAGATGACACCATCAAAGTAGTTGTTCTTTGAATGTGTCACAAAGTTCTCCACTGTCTTTGGGCACTCGTCTGGGAACAGCCTGAAGTGGATGTCTCCCTACAAAATGACCACAAGAATGCATTCATGACAACATCGCCAAGACGCATTTCTATTCGATTTCAGCACAGGATTGAAATCCTGCGCTCCTGAAATCAGCAAAAGCTGCTTGACAGCATGGCAATACGATTGCCCTTGTTTTACAGTTCTGCAGGCTGATAAGGACATCCTACCCCTTTGAAAACCACACAATTTGAGCCAAGGTGACACAGGTGCCAACTCTCTGCCGAGTTATAACTCATCAAACTGCAACTGAAACACATAAGCCAAGAGTCCAATTTCCATTTCATCAGTGCAATCTGGTTCATCCCTCTCTCTTGCAGGTTAGTGCATCCCAAACTGTAGACAGTACAACATTGCTTCCCAACCCTCCCGCCTCTTTGACATATTTAAACAGTCACAGCTGTACTTGCCAATTTGCCCAGCGATTGAAAATCATCCTCTGCTCCGTACAAGCAGCATCACGCTCTGGGACACACTGTTCTCGAGTTTAGGGGATGCAAGGCATTCCCTGTGTGATTCCAATATGCCATTGTCACCTTCGTTGTGTGAATAACTGCGGCCTGGGGCAGGCTCGCTGCTGTTGTGTTTAGTTCTGCCTCGGCGGCCAGGACTTCTTCATGGGTCAGTGGCTCGTTGAACACATCTCGACCACGCTGTCAAACAGTCAGCCCCACAAGCTACATATTCAGAGCAAACACCATGGGGCCCAAAATGTACGATGTCAACAGGACAATCAGTTGTACAATCCTGTTGGACATGCAGCCTCTCGGGCCACAAACAGCTCAGCTTGTGTAAATTATTGGCAAGTATGAGGGCTATGGTTTTCACTCAAGGCAAATGGCAGCTTGCACTATTGTGGGGATAGAACAGGATTGGCATACTTTCGAGTGCACCTACACAGCCTACATTGCCACGGCTGATACAGAACCACATCAGTAAGCCACAGCTACATCATGCAAGCATGTAAAGCTGCAAGCCGTGTGCATCAACTCACAGGCGTTGTTGACCCCTTTGCCAAGGCCCTGGTGCAGTCAGTGCACTTGCCAGCCAGATACCCCTGGCTGAAAATTTGCCACAATATGCGGCACGATTGGGGCCGCAGTGCTCCATTATCACATTAGGGTGAATGCGCTTGTGCACAACACTGTCATGTCGTGTCCAGTCTAGTCCACAATCTGGCCTGGCTGTGAGGTGTAGATGAAGAAACTATCAGAAATGATGAGGACCTGTAGGTCTCCTTAGTCTTGTGAAATTGGAACAGACTGTGCTGTGTTTGGAAACAAGTTCTTGCAAAGTGCGTTTTTGAGCCAGCTGGATTGCTGGAATAATTGACACTGCATGAACATGGTGTGCAACACAGTGGCCTGTTCTCACCCCAGATTCCTCTGCGTCCTCGGGCTCCTTGCGCGAAAATATGTAGATTCTGTGCTTCTTGAATGCACAGCACACGAGCACAGGATCTAGCTTGGATTCAGTGCCCTCTGCCTGGGGGAGACGACCCTGGGCAATGGAAAACAGCACTCTCAAGTACCAAGAACATGGACAGAGACACCAAGACCAATGCATTTGCGATCGTCTTTGGAGACTACTGCTTCATGATCAACACTATGCAACAGATTCTCAAAAGATCCTAACCCAGGAGAGATCCATTAGAATTTAGGAGTCACTGAAGCATTGACATCTTCTATTGCAGGTACTGTAGATCACGGAGGATAGCGCAGGGTGTGTTGAATAGAATGGGGCATTCGGATAATGCCCTCCGGAGTTATCAAACATGGCCAGTGTTGCGGAGCAGTGGGGGTACGCAAGATAGACCCAGGGGGGGGGGGGAGCAGCTGCACTAGTCGCTTCAACATCATGTATACTCACAAGTGCAAAAGCATGCTCACATTTCTTACATCTTATTGAATACGCTATCATGCCCAATATTAATCAAGTCCACTCCAACTATATAGTGCCGTGACATTTCTCCTTCAATCAAGCATCATGTCCCCAAGATTTCTTAGGGCAGTGTGACGCCCCACTAGCTACTATTTATTGCTTTTGCTTAACATTATGACTGGCGTCCTGTGTAATATGTGAAGTATTTGCCAAGTGCCACTTCGCTCTGCCAGTCAATCTGGCGGTGTGCCCGGGGTGGGGTGGGGGGTAGGGGGGAGGGGTGGTGGGTGATGGGGGGATGGGTGGGAGCGCAGGGCACAATGCAGCGAGCTGTGGTGTCCTGTCACTCTTTTCGTCGCTGGTTCTGGTTTCTGCTGTGAAAGGCACCTTATGTAATATGCCAAATTGGCAGGGCGCTGGTATGCTTTGCTGCTGGTACGCCGGCCCATGTGACAATGCAGGGGGCACTATTGAGTCAATGACTTGATACGGAACTTGGGGGCACAGAAGATAGCAGGCGGGCATGCAAGATAGCACCCCCTGCATCCCGATGTCAGCCCTGATGCTCAACAGGGGAGGGGGGCGGGCGGGCCATCCTTCGTGATCTACAGTACCATTCTCAGCCATTGGCAACAACAGTGGCAGCTACTGTGCTCCACTTAAATGGCATGGTTCATACTCTGGTGAGAAGTGAATTGATTGCCTAACTGTGTTAATGTTCATGGCACTGTGTGCAACAAGCATTGTGTGTCTGCACATCCAATAAAATGGCCATTTGCACTGCAGTTTACTGGAATCGTAACATTGCCATGGACCCATCCCACTGATTGTTGCAGGGCCTTGAAGGCCAATACAATTTTAGAGTGCCAACCAACGTTGAAAGAGCAGCTGTGCAGACAGCCAGCCTTTAGGATTCACAGCACACAGAGAATACTAATATAGTTGAGATATTCCTGCATCAACAGCAACTTCGTAATGGTCTCCTGATGAACTGCACTACTCCACCCAAAAACTCCAGCAACGATCCGAATTTTGACCATCTCTGTTCCACAGTACCTTTGCTTCCTCTTGATGTAGTGCCAAGCACAGAAAACGTTCTGTGTTCTCAACCTTCCCTGCAAATGAGCAATGCTTCGTCATCATGACAGCAGCCACATCAGCGGTCCACATCTATCCTTGTACTGTTCATGAACCCTTTCAGCCACCTCAATCTGCAAGAGGCCACTCCTATAGGCCAAAACTGACATTGCAGTGTGCATGAAAGAATGCGAAGCTGGGATCTCCACTGTCTTTTCAAGCACTGTACTTCATCGTCAGAACATTTCTGCAAACATATGCCCCAACAAAACAACATTACTTGTTGGTCCTACTGACCATCGCTCTGCCCCCTCTCTTCATCTCCCTCAAGATGAACTGTTTTACACTCTAAATGCAGGCCAACCCAGCAGTCATTCAGTCGATGACACAATGACAGCTTCGCCAACCAGCAGCCTCTCTGCGAGCAACGTTGGCACGCCCAGCTCCAAGAATGCATGTTGGTTACAGCTCTTCTCTTGTTGTAACAAGTGTGTCAAGAGGGGCTGTGCTGCATCTCCTCTAGGGTGGTGTCAGCAGGACCATAACTGTCCAGATCATAAGCTACGATTCACAGTACCACATGTCCCAAAAACAGGAGCCATGTGCTGAACAATCACAATGGTTCAAAGGGCAACAGGTACAATGGATTCATGCACCATCCTTGCTGCTGTTAATCATAATACTGCGTAACAGGAATCTGCCTCGAATGCATGCAACCACAGCTCTTACCCAAAATGCGAGCAACAGTGTTGCTAAGCAGGTTGACAATCTTGATGCCCAGCAACGTTGTGTATAAGACGAAGTTGCCACTCTCATCAAATATGACATTTGGCCAGGGCGCATCATGGGCCAGCAACAGCTCTTTTTCCACAGCCATGCGACGACCAAAGTCAACATCTTCCAGCTGATGGGCCTCTGGTCCACTACGTTGGACTGAACTGGCTGCCTTGGGGCCACACACACACACACACACACACACACACACACACACACACAATCGTGGGCATTGATACTGGGGCATGGACAGCAACAAAAACACACCACCACAACCACCAGTATAGTCCCTCTATGGCAGCCTCTCATGCTTACCATCAAGTCTGTAAGGTCCCCCACAGGAAAATCTTAGCGAGATGCCAAGCAGCCCAACCGTACAGCAGGATGCAAAACTAATGACACCTTCACAAATTGTCATGCACAAGTCTAGAAGAGAAAACCTGAGATGCCCAAAATTTCACACGATATCCATGATTCCAGTCCTGCTGCAGTCCCCTGGTCAAAACTGGAGCAACATTTCTCCGCTTTCGGAGGTGTGTGATATTCTAACATCATCAAAGCTCACCTCAGGAGACTCATCATATGTCCTTCGAAGCTTCCCAGTTTGGAATCTAAAAACTCTGACTCTGCGGTCTGTTGAAAACGTTGCAAACTGAAGGCCATCTTTGCTGATCTTAAAGCACACATCATTCCCAGGTTACTTGCTGATCGCACAAGGGCACACTGAGAATGCCTGATACTGCTCAACAGACCCAATGTCAGCAACTGGCAATGGTCTAGATGTCCATTGTACAACAGGACTGCTGCTGTGGGCACAGTACTTTTTCGGCAATGCTCCACACTACTTGAGAACAAAAACTACCCCACTTGCTGAGCTGCAACAGCAGCAACAGCACTCTTACTTACAGACCACCCTTGCCAAGGTGCTGGTGCAAGCACCTGTGCGTTGTTAGTCTCGTCCTTGCCCTGCTCTTAAAACACCCACCAAAACAAGCTGCGGGCTGCATGAAGGGGGTGACGTGCCCATCAGCGCAGAACACCCACCTCCAAGGACCGTGAGGTCGATTTTGCTTTTGCAAGTTCATAGAGGTGAGTGTCGAGCTTGAGGCTGAACTTCACAGCTGCTTGAGGGAAGTCATACGTGCTGCCACTCCAATACTCTACCACCCCTGTCAAAATCCAGCAGACAGGTTCTAAACTGTCCCAACAGCGTGCATCGTGGCCAAAATCACAATGGGTTCTGTCATTTCCCTGCCCTGCACCTTATCTTGCAAGCTAAACGCACGAAATGCCAAGTCCACTGTTCCATTCACACACTGTTTTTACAAGGAAGTTGCCACAACCCAGGCAAGGATACTGCTGTGCACTGCTTCAAGGAAATGCACTTCCAGCCTTCTGAACAAACCGATCGGATCACGGGCCTCCCAATAACATTCAAAGGCACAAGAGCAGCACCCAGCTAGACACAAGGAAAGGCTGTATCTTGCCATGTCACTGGAAAATCATATCAATCTACGATTGGTCGGCAAACAGCAGGAACATGGCAACGTATTTACCCCAACACAGCCACAGCACACTACCTTTTGCATCGATGGAAATCACTGTGTCAAACACTGCGTTGTACTTCATTGCCACAACCTCGGCCCTGTGGATGGCCACAGAGTGCAAGGGCACAGAGCTGTTGGCACCGTGAACATCGTGGATATGAATAGCAGGCCCCTGCCGATCTGAAATGGCCAATCGCATCTGTGCCTCCCCCATCTGAATTCCAAGAACACAATGAAAGACATGGCTTAGATGCAGAAAACGTATCCCCCACAGCAGCAGCAGCAGACTTGCACCGTCAGCATCATTCTACAAGCACATTTCCCACCAGCCATGGAAAGCTCCACTGAACTGGCAGCATAGCATGCAAACAAACTTGCATATACCAGGCCCAAGCTCCTATGGGGATGGATGCTTCACCTTGGCTGTTTGACCATTTCCTTCTGGTTTGATCAAATGGGGAATGAGCTGAGCCACAATGCTGTTGCCAAACAGTCACGAAGAATTTATATCCCTGACCACAAGGATCTTTGGTCTATCTTGCACGCAGGCTTGTTGTTTGACAGCAGACATCTTGCAGCTCTTCGTGCAAACCTTCGAAGAAATGACTTTACAACTGCACTTTGTTGTGCTTCATAAAGGGCAGCTGACATTCTGTTGGTGCATAATACTAATGGATGGGCTGTTGGTAGGGCATTTTGCTCTCCACTATCTTTCAGGGTTTGGACTTTTCTCCTTTCTGTTCAGTTGCCAGTACATAATGTGGGCAGGACTGTGGAGACATACATGCACACTCTGAGAACATGAACTACGAAGGTCAAAAGTGCCAGTCAACACCTTCTCTGCGCAAGGACATCGCTTTGTCCATGTGACAAATGTGTAGCTTGTTACCCCCTGTCTACTGAAGTATTTCCAGGCGACTGAGAACAATGATAGCAAATGTTGACCTCGCCGCATTGGGCTGCAATGCCCATAAGAGTAGAGTATCATCAAAATAAACGGCAATTTAAAACAACCACACAATGATGCGTCAAATGGATTCGCAGGTCCAACGGCAGCCAGCTTCGTTGACTGTATTCAGGATTTCTGCTCTTAGAAATTCTATAAAGCAATGTCCCTTCCCGGCCCCCCAGGTCCACATGAGCTTTGTTGGATTTCACAATGCTGCAGGCACTATGGCCTCTGATGTCCAGGAATGAGGTTATGGATATCTTGACTGGTTGACCCTGCCCCAAGCCTTGTCCAACCTGCATACCTTGAACACCCACTCTGCGCATCCAGGCATGTAATCTAAGCGAACCATCACCACCATGTCAAAGCTCACAATATCGTACACCTTGACAGCACGGTCTGTTGAAATGCTGCAGCACAGTGTGCCATCATGGCTGACAGAGAGGCCTAAGGGCATGACAACAACAGCACAAGCCATCAATCCCAAAGACAGCAAGTTTTTCTCTCTGTCGGGCACCAAGCCTGTTGCATCCAAGACTTGGGCATCATCTTCTACAGTTCGAACCAGACTCATGACAAATTCTTGCTGAGGAACTGCCCCAGTCAGTCCATGAGTAGTATGCTTCCTAGTTGTTGAAAAATGCAATCGTGACTGATGTCAGTGCACAATGGTGGACAAAGACTGATCCCTTAGCCTTCAGGTATTCCCAGAGGCTGGCAATGCATTAGTTGATCTGCACATCCATGATGTTCTCCAGTGCCGCAAGACTCCAGTGCAAGTTTTCATCAAAGACAACTGGATTGCACATGTCCCCCCCGCCTCCCACCCCAACCAACCCCGCACCGGCACAGCCAGACTCATCGATTGAATAGATGCAGACATACGTTGCGATGGCACCAATCCTATGCTTGACGATGCACATGAAAAAAAAGGTGAATCAAGACAGCAAGGTTGCCTCTTTTGAACTGCAGGCATGCAGCACCTGTGCAGATCGTTAGGTCTGCGAATGAGATGACGCACCATCGATTGGGCCCAAATGCGCTTTGAAATGTTTCACAAACTCGATGCCTTGTGGTAACTTCTTCCAGAACTTCACGTGTCCATCAGCACTTCCACTTATGATGAAACCACGACTCGACGTCTACACAGAGCATTCACAATCATCATCAAAAAAAAATTTTAGTCGCAGCAGCGAAATGCCGCTCCACAAAACGCCTTTGGATCCCGATTAAGGAGCTGTGGGATGCGACAATCAGCAAGCCAGACCGTCCCCAGCATTCCACTGGGACATTGGGGGTGGCTTACGAGGAAAGGTTTGGGAAACATGAACAGCGGCATTGATCTGCTGTAGATGTGTATGCCTGCGTCCTTGGACCTTTGCTGCAGCACTGGTTCTCCGCTGCAAAACCGTGAGTTCTGTCGCGCTCAGAATCAATCACGCATGCGGGGACATTCGACCCCGTCCCGGTCCACCTTACCGCAACATGCGTGACTGTGTCGCGGTGCATGTAGCTCCTTTCGTACATCTCAGCGCAGGGCAGCGCACCCAAATAGTCGTCCGAGAACTGGAGGACCTGGGTCAAGCACCAAGCCAGGCTGGCTCAGCCATCGGGCGGCGGTGAGCTGGGCGCCCGGGGCCAGGCGAACAGGGCATGGCCCATGCACCTAAGGCAATCGGCAGACCGACCCCTGCCCACAGTCTTCCGGATTTCGGCACCTTCCTTCTCTTGGGCTCCGGCGGAACTGGTCCCAAGAATGCCTCATCTTCTCCATCGTCTTGCGCGGATGGATCGGCAGTGGCCGCCACCGGAGGCTCCTCCCCACCTCCCTCGCCCCCGTTTCCGGCCATTTCGACGCGCCTCTCTGTCAGGCGCGCTGCAGGCGGTGGGCTCGCGGGCGCTGGAGGAATGGCGCCACTGGCCCCGAAATGAGCCGGGTTGCGTCTGTTCTGTCGCTGCACTGCACTGCACAACACCTTGGTTTGGAGGGTTGAGGGCACGGGGGGGTTGACCGTATCGCTAAATGAAATGAGATCCCTGCAGGAACATTCTGGCTTCTATGAACAATGCTGGTATCTTGCTTTCCTTTTGTTTGGGATCCTACATCGGCTCCTGCTGGAAAAGGATCCTACTGTACTTTGAGAGTTGCAGGGGAGTTCCCTCGTTCTTAGACATATGTAATACATTTGGAATTAAAAAAATGACATGAGATATGTGTATATCTCATGAACTTCCTCCGTCCCAGGTTAATTGTCGTCTATGATTTTGGGGCATTATTTCTCCATCATGTTCGACTTCTTTTCAATGAAATTTCGCCTACGGTTGTGTTTTTGAGTTAGGAGTACATCATAAAAATTTCAAGTCAATCCATTAAGTATTGAGAATTTGGCAGTACTTTGTATTAAGGGCTTTTTACATAGTAAATCTCAATATTTTGGGTCGAAAATGACCAAAATTTGCATTCGCCTTGCGCTCCAAAGGGTTATGTCTCACTTGTTCTTCTTGAAAATTGATAGTCAAGGGTTTTGAGATGCAATCTTTTCGATTTTGACCTTGTTTTGAAATTCTGAGGCTGTCCTTATAACAAATTCAGCCTTTCAAATAGACGACAATTATTCTGGGACGGAGGAAGTATGATTTATTTTTAAATTTCAAAGTATATATCATGTATGATGTAGAGATGCAGAGATGTAGATGTAGATGCAGATCTCATGTATGATGTAGACACGTACCTCTACATGGAAGGTATATGGCATGCGTCGCTCCGCAGGCCACATTTAACGGGACGCACCAAGAGTAATTAAGAAGAGTGGGGCATGCCGCAGCAGGATGTCGGCACAAGCTTAAGCGAATGCGCACTGTTGGATGGAGTTCCAGGGATACAACGCTTAGGTGAGATGCGATGTTGGATTCCCCACCCGCCGCTTTCTTTTCATGGTGAATGTGGGCCGCTATGCAGCATCATAAAATCCAGCTCCACACGAACGCAGGCATGGTTTCGCAATACAGAACTTTCTAGATTCGTTGTATCGTTAACAACATCGAAATTCGACACGATCCAGGCCAGTCCATCACGTTAAATCCCAACCGACAGCATAGGAAGACACACCTAAAGGGTGTGTCGCTTGAAATGCGAAAGAAATCCCACAAATTGAGAAGTCTGCACGACAGACTCCATGGTGGCCATTTTTCGTACAAGAGCGAGACAAGCGCACACACAAGTATCCCTGGCCTCAAAACTCACTACAAGTAAATGGCACAACCCCAACCAGTGAATTGCAGCTCTCTTGCACGGAGCCATAAGTTTTGTTCAGTCTTTTGTGGAGAACGTTTGCATACACACACCCGGCCCTAATGACGGACAGCAAAGGGTTCACGCGCGTTTCGCAACCCTGACACACAAGGTTCGCATTATTTCGACCGCCTGAAACTCATGGCTGCATCCGCATCAGGAGTCGGCGCCGTCTTTGAGGGGCATCATTTCCATTTGAATCTGCAAGTCCCTGGGCGAGAGGCAACGATCCTGGGTTGACTTTTCATTCTGAGGAGGGCTCTTCGTCCTTTGAACTATTCCAGCGGGGGGCATGCTGCTCTGGATGGACAGCGGCACGCACCGGTCAGCAACTGGAACCCCTGAACGCCGCCTAACAGGGACAAGGCCGGTGCTTCGTCATCTGTTGGCCAATGCAATTGATCCCCAATTTGTGCAAGCAGAAGGCCGGAAGACATTAAACTCGACCACAGCTTACTGTAGAAGGCCTTGATTAGCCGTGAGTGACAGCATCGGGGTTTCAGAGTAAACTGCTGTCGGCAACGAAAGCACTGCTGCAGGGCACGGCTGTCGCAATTAAACATGTCATCCGTGTGCCTTCAGGCCCGCATGCGATTCAAACAGCAAAAGACCGCTACCCCAATGACTGATGATGCCATAATTCCCCAATAGTTCTCTCGGAAGCACACAGCTCCAAAAATGCTCGTAGATTAGGACGGGTTCCAACAAAGGAAAATAGCACAGTACTTAGTCCTGTGAGCCAGCAACGCCTGTTCTTCATTGGGTGCGCCACTTGCCAATCGTTTCAAGAGTGGGGTGCACACCTCTCCAAGCTTCTGTGCCTTCAAATAATGCTCTCTTGACAGCCTCAAAATTCTGCACGGTCCCGAGGCACTGGCAGTAAAGTCAGGGCAGTAGTCCTTTTCCACCAGCGCCTTGAGGCCAAGGTATGCCCACGGTCCCAGCTCCGATGGGAATTCTTCCGTTCCTGCTTTCACCAGCACTCGCCCCTGCGCACGGGCGCAAATGCAACTGAACACAACAATTCGCCAGAAAGCGTGCCCGCCATCGCTTTGTAGTCGCAAGTGCAGTGCTTCGCCATCCATTGATAACTGTGTTCGCTCACACTGAGCAGGAAGGACACAAACGATGATGCATCGACTGCAACACGGATGCAACATGTTTGTGCCTTTTGACATGTCCTGATGGCTCGACGAGTGAAGGAGCAACGCCTTTTCACCTTTTGGACAGGTTGCATCAACAAGGCTTGGCAGAACAGGCGAGAGATTTGGCATGTGCTCTTGAGCAAATCCCAATTGATTGAAAAATTTACAAAACTTGCCAATGGGCTTTCAAGTAATGCACGTGACCTCGCACACCTGAAGCACCAGTGAGAAGTACTTGGACACCTGGCCGCTCCTGTACAGCTCGCAATGCCCCCTTGCCCTATTTCCAGCCTGCAGAGAGCAAACGAATCATCATAAGGGAAGCACAGGATTAAGTCGAAAGTGGGGTTGCGAGGAAGTCCGGGCGGTCATCCTCTCCCCCCTTCTCACCCCACCAATACCAATTGAAACGAAAGAAACAAAGGACAAAATGACGATCAAGCGCCCGAGGAGACAGCGTAAGTGATAGTAGCAAAACCCGCTTGATTAGGCTGCCGAACACAAAACAGTAAGAGATGCAGATTGCAAAGTTTCTGGCGGGTGCTTACACCAGGATGCTGTGCGCCGAAGCTCGTGTCTTCATCGGCACCATCGACTTCTATAATCTGGGCAGCAGCAGGCATCCTGTCAGTCTTCTAAAGTATGGGAGAGTTTCACGCAGCACAGACACCTTAACAGTGAATGGCGAGAAACACAGGATCATCGTTGCAACGCAAAACAAAGAGCAAAGGCCCTCTCAAGGGACTGACCAGTTGTTCACACATTCAAGACTTGACACCCTATGCAGGGCACAAGTGACCCGGAGCAAATCATCCGTTGGAGGCTTGTGCTCGGCAGGCCTTGTGTCTGCACAGCAGCAAGGGTGGAGTGGCCGGGAAGAACGGGGGCGAACGTCCCTGCCGTTGGACTGTGTGAGCGCTTTGCAATCTTGGATGTGCACTGTTTCATCAATCTGAAAGATGGTTTCTCGTTGGCATGGACTGCTGGGCGGTGGAAAATTCGTGTTCGGGTGGATGGAAAGTTTGCGAAGACTAGGCTCGCCGCTGTTTTTAAGTCTGTTTAACAGCGCTGAAGTGCATCACACTGGCTAGCTTGACGCCTGAAAAAGGGCACAAGTTTGCACTGCAGGCATGCTCCTGCGCATGCTTACTGCTATAGCGTGGTCGACATCTCTGGAACCTGTGTAAACAATACCTCTGCCTTTTGGATCAGGTTCTGGAGTCCGCCCGCGTTGGTAATCTGGAACTCCGGAACTGATTGCAGATACGCAACGGCCGCCTGAATTTCAGCATCGGACATTTTAGAATGTTCCCGCATTCTGTGGTCAAAGAGCTTCATGAACTCTTTTGCATCTGGTCGGTTGGCTCGCCCCCTTTCTATCCTTGAGCTCTGGTCATTGTTCAGAAATTGATCGGACTCGTCGATGATTTCAGCGTTTATGAGTTCCTCAAGGACATCTTCCAGCGTGATGACGCCAGTAACTACACAGCACATCGCGAGCATCTTTCAATCAATTCGGATCGTGGTGCTGCTGCTCCTCACGGCAAATATGTACGGTGAATTCTTCCGGGCAGATTGCTCTTCTTTATGCCGGACACTGCATTCTCGTTGCCCTCCGTATCGTTCCCTTTGTGGATGGCTAATCTGCTACGACCCATTGCTCAGTTAGTTACTTCAGGTGCATCACAGGGGGGATTCTATTCTGCATTCAAACAGACTCTCCCAGAGAATTGGCTGGTTGTTTTGTTGTGTGCTGCTATCTTCCCTCCCCCCTCTTGCTGGCGCCGCGCCACGCTGCTTTAAGCAACAAAATGGCGTGAAGGTTGGCAGGGGCTCCATGAATGACCTTTTGGGTAGCGACAGATATCTTGACATGCACATTCCTCTTCGCTGCTTCAATACATGATCGCATGGTATAATAGGTATGATATACGCTTTTACGATCTCAGCCTTGCTATTCTTGTTAACGGAACAACATTCACACGCTTCACTCAGACAACTAATTCCGTCCATTCTTGGACACAAATGGTGCAAAACAGGGTCTGAAAATGGCTGGAATAGGAAGCGACAAAAGGGTGGTCGTTGCGCACATGTCACCATGCTCGAGCCAAAATTCTTGAGCGATGTCGTGTGTACTTCGCCATGTGAACGTTGACCAGCTAGCGAATCCGCCCGCCGACAGTCTCTCGCTGCAATATCTCCTTACAATGGATCGAATCACAAACTTGGGCGCTGTCACACATCCTAGGGATCCCACAGTGCCACCCACCTTCACGAGTTTTCTCCCCCTCTCCTGCTTTCCTGTAGGCAATCATGAGGTGGGTGTTTGTGACAGGCGTCTCGTTCTGCATTATCTTGAACATGTTGAGAACCTCCCGCAGTGTGGTGTCGTCGGCAAGGAA